AAATGCAAACCAATAAATAAAATGCATCAATTCAGCACTTAAATAAATAAATAAAGTTATTGATATGTAAATGAGTAGAACAGTGGTCTAAGAGGGGAGGGGTTCCCCTCAAGAACTGATATATTTGGAAATTATTTTCTTATTGCATTATTTTAGAATATCTTTTAAATTTGTCTTCAGTGTAAAAAAAAGTGCATCTTTCTTAAACCAAATCAGCTAGTAAGCATATAAAAGTTTAAATCAGATAAGATAGGAATTGATTATTTACTTGATATAAGATTCACTAAGAAATGTTCTTGGCAAGATGAAGAAACTGATTTCAGTTACCCACATCTACTCTTCTCCCTTTCAGAACCATACTTTCCTTTGGCCATCCTGCAAGTTATACCTATACTGCACTACTGTCCTGTGGTCCTTATTCTCAACTACTTCTCAGCTAATTCCATTTGAATTCTTTGTATTTATTTCTGAACTCTTCTGCTCTATGACAGACAAGAAACTTTAGAGAATAGTGTGTGATACTAGGCACTATGTAGGCTTACAACAGTTATTTGTTGAGCAACTGAATTTTCTAGTTCCCATTATTCTTAGTAGTTAATTCTCATCCACACTAATTTGACGTTGAGGTTTTTGTGAATATTTCATTTTTATGGCCATTAATGTGATTTATTAACTTAGTGTGTACGCAACTTTTCAGGAATCTTATTGCATAAGTGTGATATAAAAACACTACGTATCATAGATATGAAAAGTATACCATTAATCACAATGAATTTAGTGTATGAAATTTTCTTTTTTTACCTGTACCAGTTTCAGATTGGTTTAAAAATGTTAGTTATTTTTTAATCTTGATACATTTCAATATTTGCAGTATTGAAACTGTTGCATTTGTGGGGTCACAGAAAATCATTTAAAACTCTTTTTTCATAAATGTAAAAAAAGGTCTTTTTATGCTGAAGCATAAATACTATACAAAGAAGAAAATTATCTTTTATGTGCCAAGCCCTCCACTGGTTTCACTTTTATTTCTTTTAATTTTTGTGTCAAATCTGTAAGATTATGTCTTCAGTTTATAGGTAAGGAAACTAAAGCTTCAAGAGGGTAAGTGACTTGCTCAGGGTCTCATAAGTAGCAGGGATTTGAACTTAGGTTTTTGGACTCTAAGCCAGTGTATTGAAGATAATCCCAAGAAATATAACCCTTCTGTGATGAGCCAAAGAGATAATATTCCATTTAGCTTTTGAAAGGAAATAATCTAAGGGAAACTTACAAATGCTATGGAAACATTTTTTGAGCTATGGCTGAAGGCTTTAAGTTTGAAGTGGATTCTTATCAAAGAGAACTACACTTTCATTATACCTCTTAACCCCTTATTTAGGTATAAGACTTTCCAAAACACACACACTAATTCCATGGAAGGGATACATTCAAACTGTGTTCCCATTGTGCAATTACTTTATGACTATTTGGTTCTAATTTCCTTTCTCATTACTTGTGTTTGATGTCTTGTATTCTGGATTGTAATTTTTTTGAGGTCTCCTGTTATATTTATTTAATACCTATGGTTATTGTTCCCTTCTTTGGTACTTTACACGCAGAAGATGCTTAAAAAATGTTGAATACTCTTGAGTTTTAGCATTTAAGATTCTTGTGCCATGTGCCCCTCCCACCTCTATGATAGTCTCTATTACATTCCTATAGAAATAGCAAAACTAATTTTTCGTTTTTCATCTTTGCTCATCTTTTCTATGCCTTTTTCCTATTCTGAGTGGCTCTTCTTCTCCTTTCCTCTACTTACGGCTTTGCTTTCAATTCTCCCTTCTCAATGAGACTTCCACCATTAAGACCATTACAAGTCTTTATGCCTTTGAATTTTGACACTTCAGCATATCTTATTGTCATTTATTCTTCTGCATATGCCCTGTCTTATCTGGATTGTGAGTTTAAGTTTTTGTTTCTCTTTACATCTGGGTGTTAGCTAACATATTCAAGAGATTCTCAGTGACTATTCTGATAGAAATTCAGTCACCTATAAAAGGCTTTATTTAAAGCACTGCTGACTAGTTTGGGGAGAAAATTTAGCAGACAAAGATGAAGTTGTCTGCCATCCAACATGTTTCAATTGACATTGAAATTGATAAAAAGAAAATAAGGCCAAGTGGCTCATATTTGGATATGTTCTAGAAATAACACTGTGACACCTTCCCCCACTTTTCTTTTTCTGTCTTGTCTTTTTTTTCCTTCTTCCTCTAGACAGAGTCTTGCTATGTCACCCAGGCTGGAGTGTAGTGGTGCAATCATAGCTCACTGCAATGTAGAACTCCTGAACTCAAGTGTTGCTCCTGCCTTGGCCCCCTGAGTACTTGAGACTACAGGTGTGAGCTACCTATTCTGTGTCTCTTAACATATGCACTTACATTGTTCACCATGAATCTCCTTGATCTTGTTTTTGACATTTACTGTGTTTTCTTTTGTCTCTGAATAGCTAAAAATGGAGCAATTTTATTTTTTTCTTTGATCTTGGTCACATATTTCTTGTTGGTCAGTTACTGAAGACTGTAACTGAGTCATTTGAACTATGTTCTATTAGGCTCTGGAATGAAAGCTTGATTCTCTCAGCTGACCACTGACTTATTATTTGTTATAATTTTGGAAAATACTGACAATTGTGGTAGTGTTAAAGCAAAATCTATGTTGGACTTATTTTTTAAAAACAAATGACATACATTTATTGGGTAACTAATTTATACACCTAGACATCCTGCAATATAGTTTAATTATGGAAAATCTATAAGTTAGCTTTTATTAAGGTTATTTTTCATGTGAGGGAATGAGTCTGCGAAGAATTAGATTGCTGTCTAAAAGGTAAAATATTTAACAAATAACACTGCTATAACATAAACTCTTCAAGGCAGGGACTTTGTTTTGTTCACTATTGTAGTCCCAAAACTTAGGACACGACTGGAAGTCAAATATTTGTTAAATGAATCCAACTCCTCTCCTCTTATTCTCTCTTGAACTCAACTCCAGATTTTTCACTCTCATCACCCCATTAAAGCTATTTTTTGTTGATGTTATCAATGACCTCACTGTTCCTAACATCAAAGGTCTCAGTCTTTTCTAACTTGACCTATCAAGTTATATTTACCCATTAGTTACTACTCTTTCTTTGAAATACATTGTTTATTTCCAAAACAACCAATTAGCTTGTTTCTTTCCCTTCTTCCCTGGATAATCTTCAGTAATGTTTTCTTTTCTTGTTTCAAGCCTCTGAATATTGGAGTATTCCCAGGGCTAATTATTCAGATATTTTCTACTTTTGATTTACTTCCTTGACAATATCACCCAGTGTCATATCTTTAAATACCATTTAGACTACAGTAATTACCAATTTATATTTTTATCCTGGACTTCCCCCCAGACTCTGCTCTAATGTATTGGATGATTAATAGATAGGCGAAGCTTAGTTTGTCCAAAACTAGACTCCTAATATCTTAATTTTCTATACTTACAATTGGAAGAGTATATCTAATTCATACAAACCCAACCCTTCTAGTTGATTAGGACATATAACCTTAGTGTCATCTTTGACATCGAGACCAGTAGTCTGTTGGCTGTGTCTTCTAAATATATTCTGAATCTTCTCACCTCCATTGTAATCATTCTGGCCCAAGCCAGCATCCTTTTCCAGATTTTGCTGCAATAGTTTGCTAGCTGATTTCCTGCCAGGACCCTTGGCCCCTCTGCAGACTGTTCTCAATATAATAGCCTGGGAGGTCCTATTTATAGAAGGAAAAAGTCAGGACAAATTTTTCTGTCAGAATAAAGGACTAAATTCTTAAAACCTACCTTTTAGACCCCATTTCTTACTACTCAGTCCAGCTCCACTGGCTCCCTTGCTAATATCAAGCAGGTCCTCTTACTACTCCCAAGATCTTTACATTTATTTTTCTTTCTTCTGGCATAGTCTTTCTACAGATAATCTCCATGACTTAGGTCTTACAGTCTTTACTGAGGTCTTCATCTCTCTGTGAGGTTCCTACTGATTATCCCATTTAAAATTACAGCTCATTTCCTGCATCCTTTTTTTTTTTTTTTTTTGAGACAGGGTCTTGCTCTGTCTCCAGGCACCAGGCTGGAGGGCGGTGGTGTGATCTCTGCTCACTGCAACCTCTGCCTCCTGGGTTCAAGCAATTCTTCTGCTTCAGCCTTCCAAGTAGCTGGGACTACAGGCGTACGCCACCACGCCTAGCTAATTTTTGTGTTTTTTTTAGTAGAGACGGGGTTTCACCATGTTGGCCAGGATAGTCTCAGTCTCTTGACCTGACCTAGTGATTTACCCACCTCTGCCTCCCAAAGTGCTGGGATTATAGGTGTGAGCCACCATGCCCGGCCTCCTGCAGCCCCTTTTTATCCCACCCATTGGCACTTAACCTCCTTCTTGTTTTACTTCTTCCCATGTTACTTAACATCTCTACTCATTTATCTTGGTATAGTTGTGTGTTTTACATTTATAACTTCTTATTGAATGTAAATTTTACCAGAATATAAGTTCCACAGGGGCAGGAATGTATTCATTTGTCTTTCCTGATTTGTTCATGTGTCTACACCCAGAACAAATAAAGTAGTGAATGAGTACTAGACCTGAATTTGAAACTAGTTTTGTTTGACCTGAAAGCTAATCTAGGCTACCATTTGGTTTATGTGGATATATTCTTTGTTTTAGATACCACACACCTATGCTAACCCCACCACTACTCAGAAGCCTTTTGAACTAATATTTTAGAAATTTTATATATAATGAACAATCTTGCTATATTTAATCTTACAGTGACTAATTACTATATTCTGAATTTTATCTTTAAATATAGCTGTGGCATATTTTTGTTGTATTTTATAAAAGCAGCGTTTGTGCACACGCATAATACTATGCATATTGTGTTACTATATATTATGTTTTATATATATGTGTGTATATCTATATATAATTTTTAAAACAGGTTATCAGAACACCCCATGGGAGAGACTTCAATGACTCTTTAGAAAAGTGTGAAGACTATCTAAGCCCAAGGTCATGTAGTAAGCCTCAGCATTCAGTGAGGACCTTACTAGTCCATTCAGCACCCTCAACAATGCCGAAGCATTCTCCAAGCCTTATGTTAAATAGAGCTTCTCTCAGAGAAAGGTAATTATGTGCTCTCTTTATTTCTGTACTGATCTTTGAATAATAAATATTAGAAAGAGAAACAGCAATTATGCATGTGAAATGAATATTTATGAAAATGTAATTTGATTTTAAGAGGCTTAAATTGTTTTTGTTTAGAATATATTACATATTAGATAGTGTTAGATAGTTCTTCCTTGCACAGTGCTCTAGAAGTGAGTTTATTAAATAGATAACCCTAACTACAGATTATAGCTATTAAAAGTGAAAAGTAGTGTATGTGATTGTTTTTAGTAGATTCAGAGGAATTTAATATTGTAGGTTTGCCTTAAGTATAAACACAACATAGATTATATGTTGTATTTAGTCATAATGGCTATCTACATATTGTTGGTAGATAGTATCTAGTTTTCTCAAACAACCTTCCCCCAACTCCCCAAGAGCATCTTAATTATGTAAAGATTCCAACTGTCCCTTTAAAAATACTGTGGCAACCAGAGTCTAATTCTGTTATAATTTGGATGTGAAATAAATACTTCCTTTTCATAGATTTTAAAATTGAAATTGGAAATTCATTACCTCTGTTACAAATAGTAACATAGGAAACCATGTTTCTGTAATAAGTTGAAAATAAATCAATCCTGGTTAAAAAAATTAAGTAAGTTTTTTTCTATAAATAAGAGAAACACTGTCCAGAACATGGAAATCAGTGTAGCTTTACAGCTGGTGCTGAAGTAAGCTATAGTGTATTGGGGCCATCAGATATAATTAACAAAGATTTAATTAACTTTGGAGAATATATCAAAAATTTAACTAAAAACCGATGATTTTAACAACAGTGTGTTAGTTTGGATGCTGTGTTAAAACAAATCTATTCTAAACATATAGGTTTGTATGTTTTCTTATTAGTTTTGCACACATTCAAAATGTTTTATGGAGGCATGTTGTAGACCCCAATCCTGAGATATGGAATTTTGATTAAGGTTGCTTCTGGTCTCTTAGAATCATGCCTGTGGGGGTGGGGAGGGGATAATGGAATCGTTAGCATAGGTGCACACATATACAAACAACAACAACATAAACATCAAAAGTTCAGGAGAAATTCTGGAAGAGAGGTTTTTCTGCTGAAGTTGGTAACTTACATATGAATATTAGGGGACTTTCCTTGATTTTGTCATCTGTCCAGATGTTTAGAGGTACAGTTGGTGCTGCTTTCTTTTTATTGACTTTTAGAATTCATCTCTTGTGATTTTGTTGATTAGGTTCCTCATCACATTTGTACATTTTTCACAATTTTTTTAAGTCTGTATTTCCTTGGATATGTTTTTATACTTTTATTTTTCTATCTTTTCACATATTTTGCAGAACTTTCCGATTGTAAACTTACCACTATAATACGGTATTAATTTTAATTCTGTGTTAACTTTATCTTTGTATGCAATTCTGTTCCAGCTTTTGACTTCAGTCCTTTCCAGATTGATAAATTCTTCATTGAGGCTATATTGAAAAATTTTTTATTGATGATAGCTAAAGTTAGCTGTCCCTTTATTCATATTTCAGTGTGGGTAATGGCTTAGAGTAGATAGTGGTAGCATTTACACATTATTTTCACTCAGGATGATAGATATAGTAAGTTCTTTGTTAGAAGAAAATGAGTGATTCTAATGTTAAACATTACCTATTTTATCTATAACCTTAGAAAGGTTAGGTAATTTTAAAATAAAAGAATATAATAGCATTTTAGTTTTGAGTTTATCTAAATAAATTAACATTTTATTGGTGTACTCTCTGGGGCAGGCATGATAGATAAGCTTTTTTACTTTCACTAAAGCAGAGCACCTTTGATTTGAGTGTATTTTCTAAATATCTAGGTAAGTCTCTAAAGGAAGATAAAATGTCTAAGACATATTACTGGGAACAAAAACATTTTATTCTTTTCAATACTCAGTACCACATCTTTAAATATAAGACATTCTCTGAAATGGCTTTTTCTAGGCATTATACTTGTAAGGTGTTTATAGAATCTATTGAAATCAATAAACAATTGAAACTGATATAAATATAGATTGTATGTTCCAGGCGAAGTTGGAAGTTTTGCAGGGACACTGTATGAGAGAACATAGAGTTACAGGATTTTATCTGTGTAAATATTCATTGAAATTAAATAAGTTTTCTCTAAGATTGCAGTGAAATGCTGACTGCTTAATCATGTATATAAATAAACAGATTTTTAGAAACTTTCGCAGTTGCTTTAATCAAATTAATTTCTTTATTTATAGTGAAGGTGGTTTTTACTTTGTGCCCATTAAAAAAAAAATCCTCCAATAAAGTTAGCACAACATAAAATGGTTTCAATTTTGGTTATAAGAGTTATATTTCAGAAGCCGTTTTCTTCTCAGTATATAAATATTAATATTATAAATTAAAATTTGTGTGAGGTGTTGAGTTATTGCTAAAATTAGACCAAGAAATATTAGCAAATCTTATAAAGGAGCTGATATTCTTTTGAATCATGCTTAAAATCTTTTGATTTTTATAAAAATCAAACATTCCTTATACTACAGCACAGACTAGTGGATTCTCTAATAGTAGTATTGGAGAGATCCAGTGGATTCTTGGAACTGCGTAGTTGAATCTCAGATTTCCAAGATATGCTATATATATTGCAAATAACACAGTCTGCTAATACATTTTTTTTAGGTGCAATAGGACTTGCTTTTACCTATACAGGAGATTAAAATTCAGATAATTGATAATTCATTGAGTTATTCAACATACATTATGTAAAACATTTATCCTGTTTAGTAGTTTATACTTTGTGTAAAAATGCGATATTTTAGCTTTTAAGAATTAACTGGGCTCATGCCTGTAATCCCAGAACTTTGGGAGGCCAAGGAGGGCAGATCACAAGGTCAGGGGTTTGAAACCAGCTTGACCAACATGGTTAAACCCATCTCTACTAAAAGTACAAAAATTAGCCAGGTGTGGTGGTGGGCCCCTGTAATCCCAGCTACTCAGGAGGCTGAGGCAGGAGAATCACTTGAACCTGGGAGGTGGACTTTGCAGTGAGCCAAGATCATGCCATTGCACTCCTGGGTGACAGAGTGAGACTCCATCTCAAAAAAAAAATGGGGGGGAGGGAAAACAGCAAAGATTTAAATAACATACCAACGTTTTAACTGTTTCTTTATATATAAAGGAATTATTAATAACACTTTATGCACTATGATTAGATAGAAATTTTTATTATTATATGAAATAAAGTTGTTTACCTATACTAATGTCAGTTTTGAACTTGAGAAGGGCATACAAAAGAGAAAGGAATGCTTTGTTTCTTCTTTCACATCTTTAATTTCAACCCTAGACACTAATAATAAAGTCGTATTTTTTATTTTTTAGATGCATTTACCCATAGCTGAGACTAGAGAGATGAGCTCATCTATGTTGAAAAGAAACCATCTATGTTGCTCTGTATTCTGAAAAAATAAGAGCATGATTAAATTTTAAATATTTTTATGTATTACACACATTTGGTTTCATTTAATAAAATTAGGTATTTTTTTCTCTGCAGAAAGGAATTTTTTTCACATAGTTTGAGGGTATGATTACTAGAGAATAGGAAGTATATGTAAAGGCATTGTACATAGAATTATTGTTTTAATATGAAAATCTGTATCTTTAATTATAGCTCCAAATAGTTATGTGTGGAAGTCATTAAAATGGTCAGATATATAAGTATGTTCTCCCAAATGTATGCCAACCTTTATTAAGACTATTTGTTGAACATACTGTGAAAACTTGATAGTATAGCTTAGAATCAGTACCTGATTTTAATAGTAAAATAAAACTTATTTTATGCCTACAGGTTTCATTCTGATTGGTGTTCACCTTCAAACTGCGATGAGATCCATGACCGGGTAAAAAATGTCTTGAAATCACATCAGGCTCATCCAAGACATTTATATGTTAGTTTCTAAAGTTTTCTCTTGAAGGTCAAGAAAACCACCAAAGATGCTTAAAGCTTACAATATTTAAAAAGAAAAAAAAAAAAAAGCTTACAATATTTAGTCACAGGGAAGAATAAAAAAAAAAAGAAAGCTCCATTTGATGGAAGTCAATGAGTTTTCCTCAAGGCAACATATTTAAATTCTTGGTCAACCTGTCATTATGCAAAATGTTTGACATAGACCATCTGATCTCTAAACAACATTAGTGATAATTATCTTATAAAGCTTCATTACATAGTGACTTGAGGATAATTCTTATACAGGCTTTATAATATGAGAACTCTTGTTTTGTGGCCCAATATAAAGCAATTTTATCCGCTGCAAACAGATTTAATTCTAATTGGTAGCATGAGGGGGTAGGTAGTGAGAGGTATGTAGTTTGAAGAAACTTCTCAGTTAATTTGTATGTTAGTTGAATAATTTAAAAGAGGAAAAGAGCAGGTAGGGTTTTTCAGGTTTAATATTAGAAAAAAATCTATATGAGGTTATTTTTTGAGAAAAAGCAGATAAACATTTATATACATTACAGCTGGGAAATAACTGTATTTTTTGTTTTTGATCTCTTGTTTCATTCATTAGTTTAAAAAGCAGTCTTTATCATCAATGTGTGTTGGATGCTAAGATTAGTCTTTGGGATATAAGAGGCTTATATGACCTTGGGATCAATTTTTACAGTTTTAAATTTCTATATACGTGCTATTTTTAAAATTAAACTTCTTTTTAAGGTATACATATAGAAAATGCACAAATAAGTAACAGCTTGATAAATTACAAAATTTGTCTCATGTAAACTACCTACCAGATCAAGAAATAAAACAGTTCTGCAGAAGCCTCTCTTGTTTCCTGCCAGCTACTGCCATTCCAAGTATAAACATTATCTAACGTCTAACAGTTATTTATCTTCTCACAGCAAAATATAATATTGCACGTTTTGAACTTTATAAAAATGGTATCCTGCAGTGTCTATCTACTTTTTTTATTCTTGTTTCTCTTTGGTTGCATTTTTGCAATTTAGACATCTTGTTTTACATAGCAGTGTAGCAGTCGTTCATTCTTGTTGCTATAAATAAAATTTATTCATACAATACATTTTACTGTATGAAAATGCTACCATGGCTCTGGCCCTGGGAACTAACAACCTGGACGTCCACTCAAGAGACCTAATCTGAAAGTTGGTAAATTCAAAGACGACAGGAGGATACATTTACAATGACGGGAAGAAACCAGCGAAAAAAGCTGAGAATACTCAAAGTCAGAACGCCTCTCCCTCTAAAGATGATCACAGTTCCACATCGACAATGGGACAAGGCTTGTTGGAGAGCGAGCGCCTCCTGATGACAGAATCACTCTTCAAGGAATGGATAATAAGAAACTTCGGTGAGTTAAAAGAACATGTTGTAGCCCAATGTAAAGAAACTAGGAACTTTGAAAAAAGGTTTGATGAACTCCTATTGAGAATAGACAGAGAGGAGTATGAGTGAATTAATGGAACTGAAGAATACAATACAGGAATTCCGAGAAGTATGCACAGGTTTAAACACTCGAATTGTTCAAGCAGAAGAAGGGATATCAGAGGTCAAAGTCCAACTTAATGAAATAAAACGTGAAGAAAAGATTAGAGAAAAAAGGATAAAAAGGAATGAGCAAAGTCTCCAAGAAATGTGGGACTATGTGAAAAGACCAAATTTACGTTTGATAGGTGTACCTGAATGCGACGGAGAGAATGAATCCAAGCTGGAAAATACCCTTCAGGATATTATTCAGGAAAATTTTCCTAAACTAGCAAAGCAGGTCAGTATTCAACCCCAGGTAATACAGAGAACACCACAAAGATATTCCTCAAGAAGAGCAACCCCAAGGCACATAATCGTTAGATTCACCAGGGTTGAAACGAAGGAGAAAATACTAAGGGCAGCCAGAGAGAAAGGTCAGATTACCCACAAAGGCAAGCCTATCAGACTTACAGCAGATCTCTCAGCAGAAACTCTATAAGCCAGAAGAGAGTGGGGACCAATATTCAACATCCTCAAAGAACGGAACCTTCAGCCCAGAATTTCATATCCAGCCAAACTAAGGTTCACAACTGAAGGAAAAATAAAATCTTTTATGAACAAGCAAGCACTCAGAGATTTTATTACCACCAGGCCTGCTTTACAAGAGCTTCTGAAAGAAGCATTACACACAGAAAGAAACAACCAGTATTAGCCTTTCTGAAAATACACCAAAAAGTAAAGAGCACCAACATAAAGAAGAATTTACACCAATGAATGGATAAAACAGCCAGTTAACATCAAATGGCAGTAACCCTAAATTTAAATCAACTAAATCCTCCAATCAAAAGACAGCCAAAACCCAACGGCATGTTACATCCAGACCTGTTTCACATGCAAGGTTACACAAAGACTCAAAACAAAGGGATGGAGAAAGATTTACCAACCAAATGGAGAGCAAAAATAAATAATAAATAAAAAGCAGGAGTTGCAAATCTCGTATCGGATAAAATAGATTTTAAAGCAACAAAGATACAGTGGTAAAAGGATCAATGCAACCAGAGCTAACGATCCTAACACCCAGATACATAAAGACTTAGACTCAATGAGACAGAAAATTTATAAGGATATCAAGGACTCGAACTCAGATCCATAACAAGTAAACAATAAATATTTATAGAGCTCCCCACTTCAAATACACAAAATATACATTCTTGTCAATTCCACATCACACCTACTCATAAGTTTAAATGAAACATTGATTGGCCATTATTAATACCCAATTTTTTTCAAAATAAAGCAATATTTCCATTTACTCTCCCTCTTTCTTCCTCTCCTTTACTTATTTATTTATTTTTCTTTTCTTCTCTCAAAAAAAAAGAAATCAACTTGTAAACCTCTAGATCCAGGTCAGCAATGTCTCTCTCATTGCTTGATTTCTTTCCTTCCCTTCCCTCCCTCCCTCCCTCCCTCCCCCATCTTCCCTTCCTTCCTTCCTTCATCCCTTCCTTTCTCCCTCCCTTCCTGCCTTCCTCCCCCCCCCACAAAAAAAAGCTACCATTTATTTATTCATTCCCCCATTGATGGGCATTTGATTTGTTTTGGGTTTGGGATATTATAGAGCTGCTGTGAGCAGTATGCACATATCTTGGGTGACATTGCATATATTTTATTCTACCAGTGGAATTAATCAGAGGGAATGTGTACACTCAGCTTTAATAGATGCTATCAAAGAATGTTGCACATGGTTTTAACAGTTACCTTCCCACTACCAATGTGGGAGAGTTCTACTTGTTTCTCATCCTCATTACTCCTTTGATTGACTGCTTGTGTGTGTGTGTGCATGCGTGTCTGTGCTTATATGTGTTTTCATTTGGCATTTTGATAAGTGAAAGGTAATTTATCACATAATAGTTTTAAGTTGCTGTTTCCAATGACAAGTGAATATTATTGGCCTTTTGTATATCCTCTTTTGTGTTCAAGTTATTTGTTCATTTTTCTACTGGATTGTCTATTTTTCATTTTTAGGTGAGTTCTTAGATATGTTTTGCAATTTTCTTTTCCTACTCTGTGTCTTATCTTTTTACTCTTAATGCCAATGGATACAATTGATCATTTTTCCTTTTTGATTAGTATTTTTATAATTTTTATCTACTTCAAGACTTTCTCCTATGTTTTATTCTAAAGTCTTTTTTTCTTTAACATTTAAATATATGAATTATTTGGAATTACTTTTTTCCACATAGTGGTAGATAGGGGTCACATTGCAAGAAAGGGTCAAGTCTTATGACTATAGATTTGTCTGTTTTACTTTCTGGTTCTCTTAATTTTGTTTTATAAATTCACTACTAGTCTTGCACATCCCTGAAAGTAGAAGAAGGAAAACTTTCCAAGTCATTGTATGAAGTTGATATTTACTGTAATGCTATAACCAGAAAACAACATTACAAGTAAAGAAAAATACAGACCAATGGCCCTCATGAATGTATATACAACAATTCCCAACAACATAGTAGCAAATTAAATCCATCTGTATTTAAAAATGAAAATATATCATAATCAAGTGGACTTATTCCAGAAATGCAGAGTAAACTCATTCTATTAACTGATTAAGAAAAAGCATATGTATTTTTTAAAGAGAAAAAAGAAAGGAAAAAAAAGAAGAAAGAAAAAGAATGAAAGAGAGAAAGAAAGAGGAAGAGAGAACGGGAATCTTGCTCTATTGCCCAGGCTAGAATGCAGTCTAAAAATGGGTATTAAAAACCTCTTTTATGCCAATAAATGTACTTAACAATGGAGACAGGAAGGAATAAGGGAGGAAAACAACAAGCAGCCAACCAATATTTCATTTAAACCTATGAAATGCTATGCAATTGCTGAGGAGTGATTTACTTCCAATTTTGTGGTCACTTTTAGAATAGGTGTGATGTGATACTGAGAAAAATGTATGTTTTGGGGATTTGGGGTGGGGAGTTCTGTAAACGTTTATTAAGTTTACTTATTCCAGGTCTGAGTTCAAGTCCTGGATATCCTTGTTAATTTTCTGTCTCGTTGATCTGTCTAATATTGACAATGTAGTGTTAAAGTCTCCCACTGTTATTATGTGGGAGTCTAAGTCTCTTTGTAAGTCATTAAGAACTTGCCTTATGTATCTGGGTGCTCCTGTATTGGGTATGTATATATTTAGGATCGTTAGCTCTTCTTCTGGCATTGATCCTTTTACCATTATGTAATGTCCTTCTTTGTCTCTTTTGTTTTTTATTGCTTTAAAGTCTATTTTATCAGAGATGAGAATTGCAACTCCTGCTTTTTTTGGGGGTGGGGGCTCTCCATTTGGTTGGTAAATCTTCCTCCATCCCTTTGTTTTGAGTCTTTATGTATCCTTGCATATGAGATGGGTCTGGATGCAGCATACTGATGGGTTTTGGCTTTTTATCCAATTTGCCTGTCTGTGTCTTTTGCTTGGGG